TGCATGTTTATATTGTCTGGGTTTAGTAAGAGCAAGAACAACAACGGCTATGACATTAATGTTCCCGGGAGTAAAATATCTAAATTTACAAAGTGGTTATGTGAAAATAGGGGAGTAAATGGCTTCTTGTGCGGAAATGAAATAGTTCATTCAAGATTTGATTATAATAATTGTAACAGTAAGACTCAATCCTATACTAGATATACAATCATAAAAAGAGTCTATATATTAATGATATTTGATGTGAGTGGACCTATGAAGTTATGTGATGTATTTATTAAGTTGCAACTTCAGGGAAGTTTATTTTTAACACTATATTAACAGTTAAGGCTTTGAATACTTGACGTCCAAATATCGTGCTCACTTAGTACTTAGGACCAACTTTTGTAACTTATTACTTTCCATTAAATAATAAGTTATAAAATATTATTTATAGTTCAATGCAATATGGGTAGAATGATCATGATGAGGGAGAGGTGTATACATTTATTGTTGGCTCTCTATGACTACAACATAAATAAGCACATCGAAGGACTTATTGAAAAATATTATCTTCCCCACAAAACTTTATGTGCATTACTCCACTCCCTCACTTACGCGTCTATTGTTTCTCGTAAGGAAACCTCCTCCACTCAAAAGATCCAGAGTAGGTGATAAGCCGAAAATAAGATAAGAATGAAAAATCGTTATTCAGACTTATCTTTAGCCCGTAATCGATATATATATATATATATATATACAATGTCTATGTATACATCTATTATTCTTATTGAAATATATCTCAAATCCTATATTAAAGGCTATTGATATGACAACAGGCGAAGATACTACAATACCAGAAGGGATTTATTCTCCCGTACCTACTTTTTATAAAAATGATGCAAATTATTCATTAGATATTGAGACACAAATAAAACATGCAAAGATGTTATATTCTAATGGAATAAATGGATTAGTAGTCGCAGGATCAATGGGAGAAGCTAGTCATTTAACTAGAGATGAGAGAAGCATCCTCTTTAAAAGCATTCGAGAAGCCATACCTGATACCAACTTCAAAATCATTGGTGGGGTTCCACCTTTAAATATTCAAGACACAGTTGCTGATATTGAGGCTGCATCGAATTCGCGTGCCGATTATTCTATAGTGCTAGTGCCCGGGTATTTTGGACCATCATTGACGAGTCAGCAAGGCATTATTGATTATTTCGTTGCTGTAGCAGATAAACTGCCTTTACCAATTATCATTTATAATTATCCAGGCGTAAGCAATAATGTGGATATTAAAACGGAAACATTCGAGAAGTTACTGCTCCATCCTAAAATAGTTGGAGTAAAGTTGACCCATTTCAATTTGGATAAATACACTTTATTGACAGGCAATACAAAATTGAATAAGATCAATAATTTCCGGTCTTTTACTGGTTTAGGACAGGTTCTCGTTCCGTCTTTGAGTATCGGGGCGTTTGGGGCCATTGACGGGTTATCAGGTATTTTTCCAAAATGTATGTTGAGAATCTTCAGTTTATACAAAGACAAGCAATATGAAAAGGCGGCTGAATTACAGTACTTGGTTACAAAGGTAGACCAAATGATTATGGACCTTAACTTAGTAGGGGTTAAACATGCTTTGAATGCTGTCTACGGATTTGGAGAAGTGCTCACTGGAAGGCCTCCGTTGAATGTCAAAATAGATATCGATGTTTGGAAGAAGCATGAAAGTGCTTTTAATGATTTACTCAATGTTGAAAGAGCTTTATAAAATTTCTTGGATGCAAGCAAACTCTCATAAATATATGTTTTTTTTGTTTTCTCCTTAGTTGATAAGATATATTTTCATATAAGTAAACTAAAGGTAAATATATACGGCATGTAACGTAGTTTTTAAAATAAAGAAATATTAAACTATTTATAATGTAGGTAATGCGTTCCTAACTAACGTATTGTTGTACCTTGTATTCGAGATAAAATAGATTAGTGTGTAAAAAGCCTTTTGAAATTTATGTACCCCTTTTAAATTAGACTCGGCACAATTAAAGAAGTAGAAAATCCACTTCACTTGCTTACGATGCATAGATTAACAAATTCACCAATAAATAAGGCGCAACTACAGAACCAAAAGTTTCTTCCTTACGATAATAATGTTAAGATTTCAAGGTCTTGTGACTACTGTAAATTAAAGAAAGTTAAATGCGATCAAACTAAACCAAATTGCAATTACTGCATCAAGCATAATGAATCATGTGTTTATAGTAAAACACGGAAGCCTGGTATAAAACCTGGTTATGGGCAACATGTTTTAGATAAGTTAGAAAATATAGAGACCACTCTACGTACAGAATCATCAACAACAAGAAATGAGATGAATTTATTCAAACAAAAGATACTGGAGCTCGAGCAAAAGATCGTCACATTAGAGTCCAAGAAAGATTTTACCGATACATTTGGTACACAGAGAATTGGGTCAAATAAAGAGAGATTATCTAATGGAAATGATTCAACAGATAATGAATCCGTTCGAATTACAAATGCACCTGGCAAAGAAGGAATAGCCGATGTCAAAAACGCCAATACCTTCGTTGATCCAAGATCCTTTCCAACGGTAGAACAAACTGAAAAGCTAATTGAAATATTCTTTGACAAAGTACATCCTATATTTCCAATTTTATATCCCGTGTCAACAATTCCAAAACTATTGGCGTCTATGACTGGGTCACCAGAGCCCCAATTATATGGTGTGATATTATGTGCATTGAGGTTCGCTAATGAAATGCTTCAGGAAGAGGAAATCATGAAATACTATAGTTACTGTAAATCCAAAATTATATCAAATTTCATTGGTCTTGGTAGCATTGAGGAGTTACAAGCAATGTCTTTGCTTGCCTTTGATTTGTTTGGAAAATCTAATAATCCTGAAACATGGAGTGTAATATCTATGATATCTTCAGGAGCAATTCATCTTAACTTAACTAAAGATAACGACTATCAATATAATAGTTACGGCATATCAAAACCTTGTAGAAGTCAAGGAAATAAGTGTTTTTCTATAAGGAATATATCTACGACACATGATCCTACAGCTTGGCTGGACAAGGAATCAAGAAGAAATTTATTTTGGGAAATTTACATTTTAGATAAATTGTCAAGTCTTTCTAACTCGTTCCCATTTAAAATTCCGGAAAATGAAATCAATTGTTTATTACCAGCAAGGCTTGATTTGTGGATCTCAGGGAATAGGGAAGGAAGTGCGGGCCTAATTAATCTCGTTCAAGACAGAAAGCTTGCCATAGTAAACGATCATATTATAGCTAGTGATATTTATGATTCAAATTGCTTTCTAATTGAAGTAATGCATATTTTAGGAGAAGTTCATTCCTTTATGAGACAGTCTTTAGACGTTCATAACGAAGAAGATGTTTCTGCTTGGCAAGTCAAATTCAACCAATTGGAACAAAAAGTCAGTACTTGGAGAAAAACAATTCCAAAAAGTTTTATAGACTTGTTGGATAATAATAATTGCTTATTCAAGAACACTTTCACTGTCAAAGATGTCTTGTTTCACGCCTTATATCATACCATGATAATTAGACTAAACTCAACACCAGGTTTTCCGTATTTTAGTTCTGAATACTTTCCTCCTTCTGAACTCGCAAGGTCTAAATGTTTGGGTTCTGCTAGTCATATAGTTAAATTGTCACGACAGTTTCCCCTAATGTTTAATAATACGGGTGGTGACATTTATGAAATGTGTGGCCCACAATATGCTTTTGCAGTTTGGGTAAGTGCAAGATTAATTTTTGTGAATGCCGTTAATACACATGTTGATATACCCCCAGAGCTCGATTATTTAGTAGGTTTATTAACGAAGATGGGTAGCAGATGGGAAGGATCGTTAAGGTATGCAAATATCTTGAAATTCTTGAAGGATGAAGCACTATTGGCCAAAAAGAATGGTTCAAGTTTTTATGGCCGAACGAAGAACTTACAAGCGAATGTGGATACTTATAATGATACTGATAATGATGATTTGAATGAGGACGTTAAAGATCACTCGAAAAACGTAAGGATTATATCAGATATGAGATTAAACGCCTATTCGTTGGATGTCCTACTATATAATAAAATCGAAAAATTCAAACAAAATGAAAATGAAGCTGCGTCAGAGAGTAACGAAAATGATTTTATGGATATGTTCGAATGGTTTAAGTTTCCAGAAACAAATTTTGGAAATAATACTAATACTTTGATAACTTCCAATATGACCCCTTAAAGTTATTTCAACTATGTTTCTCGAAACTTCATCATATATAAATTATAAAAAGTATTCGTCCCCTAGTAAAATTTTTAACTAGTGATTGAGTACATATAATAAATCCATACGTTTTAGATCCTGATAACACGATGATCTGGCAGAGGGAATGGACAGGTTCATCCAAGAATTGTTATCTTCAACTAAAATCATTTTACTCCGAATTTATACCTTCATAATCATAATTATGATCAGCTGATTATAATAAAAATATTTAAATAAGTGCATCAGGTTTTCATGACATATATAATAATATTGGATTTAACACCAATTCATTTCTCGTATTCTAAGGCTTCCAAACCAACTTTAGAGAATCCCATATGATTCCTTTATTTTCTGAATATTCTGAATTTATTAACTGAATCTTATTGTTTCCTTGAGTAATATACTGTTTAGGGATTGTCAATTTATTGTAAAACCAATTACCTACAAAAGAGGATGATCTATAAGTGGATTTATCATTTGTTATAAGAGTATCAAATCCATCTCTGTCCAATTGAAATCCATTTGCCAAGCACCGTAATATTGTAGAATTTCCACCAACATATGAGTTATTACCGGTATATCCAGCAAGAGAAATATATAGTTCTGCATCTTTATTTTTAACTTCATCTAAAGTAAAATTTATTGTCCATGTTCCAGGTTTTCCTTTAGCATAATACCAATCAGCATCTGAATCGTCACCTATTGTAAATTAAAATTCTGCAGGTGCTTCTTCGGTCTGAAAATCTCTGTAAGATACACCTCCGTTCTTGAATCCCTTAGAGGTTCTATCGTAGGTCCCAATTTGCCAAATTAATTCATAATCTTTAGCTTTCCATTCTATTTTACCCAAATCTAAAGAACTATCCTTCTTGATTTCAATTTCCTCGTTGTAAGTGAAATTTCCTATAACGCCACCAATATCGGTATACTTACTCGACCATTCGGAAGTATATGCTTGAAGGTAATATTTATTCTCAGTTCTAATATTGCTCAATTGGAAATACCCTTCTTCATCCGTATATCCAGTATATTTATATGAAGCACCTTGAACCATTGTATAATCTGAATTGCCTAAGAACGAATTGACATTTGATGCTGGCGCACCATTAGATAAGGCTAATCTTCTTTTTAAAGAACCTCTGCTTGAAAACTTCTTATTATTGAACCACTTGTATGGCCAATTATATTGCTCTTTTTTTAGTCTCCTATTTGCATCGCTAATACTGCCGTCATTGAAGTACCATAAATACGGACCCCAAATTTTATCTTCCGGCAATTCTTCTTCGTTCTCAACTTGGAAATGTGTACCATGTAACATTTAAGTAGAACAACATCTCCCGTACTTGATTCCCTATGAACCAACAATTCCTGTTTGATATTATCACCACAGTAATAATCACGGCCGGGTGAACTAAGCCAGAAACCATAGCTTCTATTTCTGTGCTGACCGTATACACCATAAAATTCTTCTTCGTGTAACCTAGAGCTCCAGTCATATTTAGTAATATATCGGGTATTATGTGTGTCCAACCAAGCCTCATCAAAAACCTCCTTCCCTTGGTAGTCCTCCGGCCATAATGGTAATGCTTGATCTTTAATAGAGGTATGGGCATTTGAGGACACTTCGGGTTTAGTCTGAAAACCGTTCTAAATCCTCCTAGATCCGGAAGGTTTTTATTTACAAAATAGGAATAAATTCCATCCAAGCCGTCAAACAACACCATATGAATGCTCTCCTTCGTATGCATTGAAAGAAATATCTAGTTTATTTGAGCTTACCTCTTGTAAACTGACGCTAGTACAATTGATGTCGTGTAAACTACCTTCATATGAAGCATACAACCCGAGTGCACTTCCCACCAAATCAACCCCTTCTCCATATACTGTTTCTACATTAGTTCTCTATCATATTGATTGCCCATTACAAAAGTGAACTTATTATTACCTATCAATACGCTCAAATTTGAACCTGCATTATGTGAAGTTAAGATTTCTGCCTTGAATGGTGAATTTTCTTCCAAAAGGCTGCCCTCTTGAGAGATATCAGAATAAGCCACAATACTTTGAATTATCGAAAAGATAGCTAAATATCCTATCATTTGTTTAAGCTCCATGTCTAATTAAAACTTTCAGCAAAGCAAAATACATTGCAAATCTTTGATAAGATTTTATACTCCCTTTTCTTTAACGATACCTGGTATCCGATACAATTCCTCATGTCCTTGATTCTATGGTTTAGGATAGAACAATAGAAAAATAATAACATCTCTTTAAAACTTGGTTCGAGTGGAGTTTTCTCACTCATAATCATTTTGTACTAGTGTTTAATGAATAAAGATTATTTAATGTCTTATTTGTAAAGTTGATAATTATTTACAGATATGTGGGACGGCATATCGGGCTTTCTTTAAACAATTATTCCATTTTGAAGCTGTTTAATGGGTTTGAAGCTGCAAAAAGTACTTTCAGTACGCACTTGATAGTTATGCACTCAGCCATGCGGCAATCTTGTCGTGTACATAATGCATTGAAATTTTAAAAGATCCCCCGATGGTCAAACTAATCCTCGAATGTTTTGATGGGGGAGGGGAGGAGCGTATGAAAATTGTTCACGTTATCTTGTCCTTAATTATGTCAGTAGCTTATGATGATAAAACCTAATATAGTGTAATAAATCCTGCTAAATCCAGGTCAATTGTGAAAGGAGATTCCAGTTGTTTAATTCTTTACAACTATACAGAAAGTAATAAACAATGCCAGCTCAATTACATGATATTGAAGCCAATCACGTCGACAAATTGGTCAACACCTTGATTCAAAACTTGATCAGCATCAAAGATGAAAGTGGAAAATTTTTAATGAAGATTCCCGATGGACGTATTATAGATACAAAAGGATGGATCACAGGATGGGAATGGACGCATGGGATTGGTCTTTATGGAATGTGGCATTATTATGAGCTTAAAAATGATCCTGAGATTTTAAAGCACATAGAAAATTGGTTTGAAGTACAGATGTTTGGTCCAGAAGGTACTACATCGAAGAATATTAACACTATGGCAGTTTTTTTGCCCTTATCGTATATTTACGAAAGGCATGGAACTAAGAAATACTTGCCCTATTTAGATGCCTGGGGCGAATGGGCAATGTATGATCTACAAAAAACAAAATGTGGTGGGTTCCAGCATACAACATACCTTACAGAGAATTACGATCAGATGTGGGATGATACCTTGATGATGACCATAATGCCCCTTGCAAAAATAGGCTTATTATTAGATAGACCTTATTATGTCGAGGAAGCTAAAAAACAAGTTCTTCTCCATATTAAATACCTTTCTGACAGAAAAACAGGTTTGTGGTTTCATGGTTATACTTTTGATGGCAACCACAACTTTGCAAATGCTTTGTGGGCAAGGGGAAATTCCTGGGTCACTATCGTTATCCCTGAGTTTATCGAGCTATTAGAATTGAGACCAGGTGACTATTTAAGGGATTTCTTAGCTGAAACACTTGAAGCGCAAGTTTCCAAATTATCAGAGGTTCAAGACGAGCATTCTGGATTATGGCATACCTTATTGGATGATCCTTCATCTTATTTAGAATCCTCTGCAACAGCTGGTTTTGCCTATGGAATTTTAAAGGGAATCAGAATGAGAATTTTAGATTCTAAATATAAAAGCGTTGCCATAAAAGCAATTAAGGGGGTGATTGGACAGATAGATGAGAAAGGCGAGTTATTGAACACTTCATTTGGGACTGGTATGGGTGACACTTTACAATTCTACAAGGACATTTCTTTAACTTCAATGCCATATGGGCAAGCTATGGCAATTATGGCTTTGGTAGAATTTTCTAAACTCTATTTGTAATCTAAACCATATATTTGATGAGTTGGTATTTTTTTAGAGATATGAATTAGGCTTTAAGTTTGATATTTAGGGTACGCTATTTTGCCTTATCTAAATAATTGAAATAAATGAATTTCCCTTTTCCTGTCTTTAATTTGCTTTAAAGTTTGCAATTTTTGTTCAACATCCTCTAGGATAAAGCATTTTTGGGTATTGCATAAGGCTCTCATCTACTATTTAACGCTCATCAATGAATAATCGAGTGCTCTGCCTACAAAGAAGTCTTTGATTGAATTTTAAAATTTTTTATTTCGGCTATATATCAACATAACCTCATTACACATGCCAATCCGCTTAATACGCATAACGGAAGTTAACATTTTCCATATCTGTTAAGTCTTCAAAAGCATGCTTCAATTTGCTGTCAGCAACTGCTTCACCTCTTTCGATGAGTTTATCTTTTCTAAAATTTTCTTTCATCAACCATAATCTCATACATAGTAATAAGATTATTAGAGCAGCATAACAGCCCATGTGAGTTGCAAATGCAGTCAAATACCTTGGTGAATCCTGGTCTCTGAAAACCTGGGGACCAACGCAATTACCGACAGCCCACCCAACAAAGTTTAAAGCAGTACAGAAAGACTTTTTAGTTTGACCAGCAATATTCCTTGAGAGCAAAGAAAGTCCCAAGTTGGCAACACCCCAAAAGGACAATGTTAAATAATAGCAGAAGAGCAATACTCCTCGCCTAAGTTTATATTCGTAAGAGTCTGTATCCATTCCAGTATATGTTACTGTCATCAATACAACAGTGCCAATAATCGAAGGCACCACATAGCAAATCATAAAAAGAATGTTTTGGTTAAATCTAGATGATAACCATGCAGATGATAATAATAAAACAATCAAATAAGCACCTAATACCATAGCTAATAATTGAGTTTGTAAGACAGAAAAACCAAAAGACGAGATAATTATATTAGCAAATGCCCCTAGTCCAGAGGTTGGCAATGATGTTAAAAATTGAATAAAAAAATAACAGTAAGTTTGAGGATCACTCAAAGCTTCATAAAGTTGATATTTTTTGAACTCTTTATTCTGGATTCCAGTTTGGTTCGAACGGACTCTTTCAACCATCAATTTTTTATCCGTTTCAGAGAAACATTTAGCTTTCATTGGAGAATCTGGAGTCCACCATAAAACAAAAACCCCCCATACCACAGTAATGCATCCGTAAGTCAAAAATAATATTTCCCAGTTTCTTAATGCTGCTCCGTCAATCAACGAAAAGCAATATGATAGCAAACCACCAACAATCTGCTGCCCACCATTCATCATATACCATAAGGCAATAATCAGAGCCTGTTCGGATCTCTTATACCACATGGCAGACATTAGAATAAAACATGGTTGACAGCAGCACTCAAAGAACCCTAATAAGGTTCTCACAACAACCAAAATTGCAAAGTTTTTTCCCAACGCATGGCAACTTAAGACAATCCCCCAGGCTATAATATTGAAAGCCAAATATTTAGCAATTGGTAACTTTTGGATTATCCAATTTGTTGGCCATTCCCAAAATAATACAGCCAAGTAAGTACAAGTTGTTAACCACGAGTATTGTTGACCTACCAATCCGGCATCCTCTCTTATACCCATTATAGATGCAAAAGAAAGTGTACCTTTATCTAATGCCTGCAAAAAATAAGTAACGATCATGCATGGTAATATTCTCTTATTTATCATACTTCTTAACCTTTTGTTGGTTGTATCATCAATTTCAATAGCACTATCTTCCATGTAGGCTAGGATATCTTTATCAACTCTTTCTTCATCTATGTTATCACCATCCCGCAAATGCAATTTTCCCTTTCCGTGTGGACCAGTTTCGACTGTCTCCACATGCTCAACTAAACCTTTCATCTTACCTTCTTCCAAATGTGAAATCGCAGCCGAATATATACTGGAACTGCTATTGCTGTTGTTTTTTGATACTTTAAATGATATCATTTCGTAAATTGGGATGATATTTATTGACTTCTAAGCAGATGGAAATCTTTGTTCTTTTAAACAAAAATCTATCTAGTGCTTGATAATTCCAAATGTGGGGTACTTAACTTCGTTATAGCATTAACTTTAATTATGTGACTACTATTAATCACATAGTGGTTGAAAGTTGATACATTGTATTAGAGATGAGTTAAAATCAAAAAAGTGAAGCTTATGTGGGCTCACGGCATGAAAATAGGCCGAAATCAGCTTACTGTTGATTCCCCTCCCCCCATCAATAATTTTCTCAGAGAAATCAGAAAAATGTGGGAGTCGATAATACCGAGAATAGCTTCGCATTACTGGTAACCGTTGTAAATGCATTTACGCTTATACTTATAGGCTCAAATAGCCTCCGCATTTTTATAATTTGCTATATAAGTTTAATCAGGCCCAAAAGACTAATCATTGCAATCAAGATGGTAAATGACGGCCCATTAACGGTGGCTTGATCTTGAAAGATGCAATCTCAACTGGTTAAAGCCAGGTTACACTTAACCATCTAACGGCAAAAAGCTATCATACGTGAAAGGAACCGGTGCTTGAATCTCTACATTAGTATCACTTTTGTCTACTGCCGTTGCTTATCCACATCAAACAGCCATAGTGATTCAATTTCTCTAATTTTTGGCGCATTGGACACTCGTATGAACATATATATATTCACCGTTGCATAATGCGGCTCGTATCATGATAGCTACTTAATAAAGTGTTCTTTATAATTATGATATTAATTATGATAATTATTGTTAAAATTGACTCACATGTTATTACATTTATTTTTAGCAATTTTCCAGGGTATACAAATATGCTATGCCAAGATGCAGAAAGTACATTCTACAGTAACAACAATTTAGAAGACGATGTATTCTCGGTTAGAGTCACGCTCCTGATAAACGGTTCATTATGAGTAGTAATAATCAATATACCGACTGCAAAAAACTTATTCGCATTCGATCTTCTACCTTTTGAGTTCACAGCATCATATTAGTGCAAGCTTATCATTAAGTAGAGTATTAAAGAGCATAACGATACAATTCCATTCTAGCCGGTCTACGAAATCCACAATATGATAAACTAGTTCTTACATAAGTCTCGTTTTCTAATACGAAATAAGCTTTCACAATAATAATATAAGTTTAATACAATCTAAAGCTGTAAAAATTAAATTTATTATACACCTACTGACTTCAGCTTTATTCTATTAGTTAACTTTCTCAGAAGCTTTTCAACAAAGTCTGATTTATCATCATCACTTTCGGGACTATTATGTTCTTTAGGTTCTATCGCATTTTGACCATCACCTAAGTAGTAGTTTTTTTGGAAAAAGCAAACGAGAAAAGATATAAATAAGACTCCTAATGCAGGAGAAAAAGGTAATAAACAGTATCAATATATGCATATATAGCTGCACTTCTGACTGAACTACCCATTGGGTACTTCCGTAATAATTTCAAGTTTCCAAAGAAATTTCGCACTTGTTCATCTGTTATGTTATCTGGCATATATTTTCTTAAATTAGCAGGTGTTTTGCTATTCCAAATAGCAGCAGCAATTGCGCTTCCAACTGCACTTCCAATACTAGAAAATAAAACGAGAGTTGTAATTGCCAGTGTCATGTTTTGATGTGAAACTGCTGCTTGGATTGCAGTACGTGAACTATAAACACTTAAACCTCCACCCATGCCAGATGGAATTTGGGACATTACTAGCGTTGCTGTATTTGTGTTGGGATCTGTGATGCTTATCAACAAACCAACACCAATGATCTCAATAGATATCCCAATTATTTGCAAATATTTATAATGACGGGTACGTCTGAGTATCAAGCCAGCCACAAGACCAAAGGCATTTTGATACTACAATAGATTTATTAAAATAAGTCCAATCCCTATTATTCCAATCTTTATAGATCAAAAAAAAAGACGAAAGGTAAGTTTTGCGCATAGTCGACGACATGAAATAAAAAACGTTGAAAATGACTTCTGTAGTCACAGTTCTGTTAAAATTCTTCTTATGAATACATGGATATGGTGCAAAATATATTTCAAATAGAACGAAACTTATCAATAATACACCTCCTACAACAAACATTGCAATAATACTTGGATTTTTCCAGCCATTTTCTGCTATCCGATACAACGATAAAGGCAAAAGAATAAGAGCTAACGACGTACCCAATAGAAGCAATCCTATAATGTCAATTTCTTTTAGAACACCGAAGTATACTTGCATCCAACTACTATTATCTTTATACACTTTAATGCCTTGTAGTTCTGATTTTTCTTGTACAATTCCAATCTTGGAAGCTTTTCTTTGATAGTAACCGAGACTAGCTATTGCAGGAATTAGTGTTACAGGAACAATAATAGTAAACATACCATAGCCCCACCTCCAGTTACTTATTGTTATTTCGTCTACTATAAAGCCAGCAAACCAAGGATTAATAATATTATGCGAATCTACAACACCAAGACCAAAGCACCTCCATTTTAATGGAGTAAGATCTCCAACAATAAATGTATTAGTCAGATCCAAAATAGAACTTCCAAGATCACCAAATAAATCCCTACTATATATGATGAAATTTTGGAACCAGCAGGGATAATGATGTACCCAGTCACGTACAAAAGTAATGCAACAATATAAGTCATTGGCCGAGAAGTCATATCAGCAAATTTTGCGAAGCACAATTGACCCACTGCACTTACAATACTACTTGCAATACCTAAAGTAAAAATTAAAGTATGATGTCCATAATCTGAGGTTGCGTATACCTGATAATTTGAGGTTGTCTGATTATCTAACGAGAGTGACCATGAAAGAACCCAAATAGAAATAATTATGATCCACATAGCTTTGCTTCTTACGCCTTCCTCTTTTATCAAATCTTTAACAGATGACATGAGAAGAACACCTCTCGACTTCTTAACAAATTCATCATCAGAATTTGAAAAAGGCACTTCAGTTTCAATTTTTCTCTATTCACATCTTTCATATTGGAAAGAGTGTTTTCTCAATAAATGTAGTGTTATCTTAAAATTTCCTCTTAATATTCTGGCAATCTATGTACATCATATGTATATATAAAAATATATCTATATCTATATCTATAAGCCCGTTTATTCGCCGATTTGAAATCCATATGTCCGATTCTGCATAAAAAATAAATCACGCCAAGATTAATCAGATAACTTTTGGATTTATATCTTTACCTATTTTCTCGAATTATCCAATAAAATACTTCATGCAACTATGAAGCATTGTATCTTATTGATGTATTATCTTTTTAATTTCTTAGCTTATTACATTGTCTAGTCTTGAATGCATGTTAACATAGTTTTACAATAGCAAGACTTTCGCTTATTCAAATAGTTTATGTCAAGAGATTTAATAATTTATCTGACTTAGTGTGAATGTAAACTTATTTTGTATTAATTTGCACTCCATATAATATCTGAAGCTCAAAATTTTGTCAAGATCGTATTTTTAAGTTGATAATGTGACATTAGGACATACTGATGCGGGAAGAAGCGCATTACCATTCGGTTTGTATGAAAAAAAATTCAGTTGAGGCAGTTTTCTCTACTTGGACATTGCGCGCTCTCTCTAGTCAAGGTGTACAACCCTCTTGCATACAAAAAAGTACTATGTCTCGGTTTCATTTGAGTTGTAAAATGCTTCTAACGAAAAAAAGGCAGAGGTGCGGTGAGTAAGAAATAAAAATGTTTAAGACTCTTTTAAGGCAGAGAAAACCTTAGAACATCCAGTTGATGATACACTTGGTCTTTGATAAATGTTCTCAAATTCCTCAGATACTATATTCTTTCTTTCATAAAATGCTAATGCAATTTTACAATCAAGGGAGGAATTGGAGAAAATTATAAAATACAGCGATACTAATTCTTTGAGAGAACTATGCATCACAGGGTCAGAAACGAGAAAGTATTGTTGTGTCCAATCAGTTAAACATATTTGTTCTTGAATTCATGGAAAGACCGCTTATATTTATAAATTCAAATAACCTCCGTCTCTTTACAGTTTGTTATATAAGATTGGTCTGGTATCTTTGCAATAGTTTTAGTTGTTTTAAATTATTCAATTTCTAATAATAATTCATATATTGAAAAAAGCCATTGATGGCCCATTGACAGGGGCTCTGACCTCTAAGGTGCAAACTCAGCTTGTTAAAGTCAGGTTACACCTAACCACTTAATGGCAAAAAAACTTATCAAACACGAAATTGAATATATCTGCTGAAATATCTGAAATAGTACCCGCCCTTGTCTGCTGCTGATCCACGTAAAACTGCCATAATGATTCAATTATCTAATTTTGAGGGCATATTGTAATATCTTGATTTTGCGAAAAAATTTCTGAGAGGTTTCGGCGTTCATAAATACCAATTAAAGAATACTTCCAGTTCTTTGTATTAAAGCACTAACTTGATTTAAACGACCAGGACAAGCATCAATTTTAATACCGAATGAACGTATTGTGAAACAATGTAAAACATCATTAGCAGTAACTATAAATCTAACATGAGTATCGACAGCAACAACTATATTACTTTTAATGTTTAGTTGTTATGTATTTCTCTAATTTTATGTTTGCTGGAAAATAAAGCCCGGAAGAAGCTTCATGTGCAATTAGTAGTGTAACGACCGAATCTTGTTGGGCTAAGACCCACTCTCCTTGCGCTGCGTGGATAGCCACATTTTATCTACTATACTAAACCGGCCGCTAAATATATCGAGACATATATATTATTCAAGGTCCTTATATACTTAAGCGCATTTTCAGGAATAAGTTCAAGAATAGGAATCGATAATATAGACGATATACCTTGTAGCTTCGTATTTTTAAGTGTGAGCTTTGAATAATACGTTGCTTCCAATACTCCAATGAAAAATTATTTTTAAGTTCTGGTTGTTTATTTATTGGACGCCAGTGTATTTATGTTCTTCAAAGCTTAATTAGAAATTTCCAGAAAACGGTGAATATTTGCAAGTTATGATAAAATTTCACAAAATATCGAAGACCACTATATGACAATAGCATTGTAGCTTATCAAAAGTACATTCAACTACTAGAAGTTTCGAAAATATGAATTAAAAGTGGATTTCATGGGGATCAGAAAGGTTTCAAATTGTGCAAAGCTCGCTTCGAATTCGACTAATCCTAAAAAATCCAACTTTCAATACATCGGGCCACAGACCATATTTTAATCTTTGAAATAATATTTTATCACTACTCCCTGTTATGCAAACCTTTACAGACAAACAATCTAAAAAATAAGCTGTTGCAACCTACCGAATGGGGAGATAATTGAGTATAATTCAAATTCTCGAGTTGTGTACCTTGAGTACACCAGGAACTTCAGTGTCAATCTCGAGATGTGCCACGAGATACACTCGGAGGGGTGTTCACGGAGCATTACGGGACCTCTGTTTCACACGCAGTCAGTCAAAGCAGTATATGTTTTCCATTTGCATCATTTGGGTAAAGTCTGGCATATGCTGGGATTGCGCCAGTAATTTATTGATTTCGAGGGAAGACGGAATGAGCATAGATTGGGTTGATTGAGACGATGTGGATGATAGCAATTGTCGGAATTTATATCAAGATTTTGATCAAATTGTAGGATTTATGCCACGATATGTAGCGTGCCACTAAAATTGTTGGTTTCAAAAAGTCTTTGGGTTGCTGATATCTTGAAATATAATATATATTACCTAATGCGGCATTGATACATAATTGAACTTAAAATTGTTTGCTACATCGAGATTTTTTTTTATGGATGAGCATGTATTCAGGGAGCTATTTAGAATGACAATTAATTAAAATAATAAGCAATATTCCTAATTTTCCAAATATACTACAATCCTCTGTTTATAAGTTAGGCGGTAAATACCATACAGCCATAAAATAGCAAGCATGTATTTATTTTCATAGCTAAATTTTAAAAGAAGTAGTTTACTAGTGGTAATGCTCACATTTTTGAGGATGGAGATTATCTATCTAACTAAGCGAAATATTTTGCGATAATTTAAACGAATTATTCATAAGCTTTAGTTGGGTAAATCACAGCTTCATATAAACTGATATAAAAAGAATAGTTCTGGATAAATTTATAGTATAGCTATTTAAAGGTCAGTAAGGGAATATGTCACGCTTATCTTTTATCGTTAAAAACGAAGTGGAACCTAATATTGAAATTGAGAACAAAACTAAATATGAACAGGTGAATTTCGAAGTAGATCCTACCGCTGATAAGGATATTAATGATTATATCGAAAAGTTTCTAGACATTTCGGATAATGCAAGAAATAACGACAAGCAAGAAAAAGAGATGTCACTACTTGAGGGATTGAAAACATATCCCAAAGCAGCTGCATGGTCAGTGATTCTATCAACAGCTTTGGTTATGGAAGGTTATGATACTTCGCTCATGGGATCATTATATGGTATGCCTGCATTTGCTGAGAAATTTGGTATGTTTGAGCCATCTTCTCAATCGTATCAAATTCCGGCAAAATATCAGACCATTATGGGTACTTGTGGTAATGCTAGTTCTATAATTGGACTCTGGTTTGCTGGTATTCTTGCAGATAGGTTTGGATATAGAAAAACTATTATAGCTAACTTGATCTTGGTTGCAATTTTTATTTTCATTGTTTTTTTCGCAAAGAATATTGGTATGTTAATGGCAGGTAACATTTTACTAGGCTTTCCCTGGGGTGCCTTTCAGACATTATCAGTTGCTTATGCTTCTGAAGTATGTCCTATGGTTTTGAGAATTTACTTGACGACATATTCCAATATTTGTTGGATTTTTGGGCAATTACTCTCAGCTGGTGTAATGCGGGCATTTGTTACTAGCACCTCAGAGCAATCCTATAAAGTACCATTTGCTATTCAATGGGTATGGCCTGTTCCAATTATCATCGGTGTATTTTTTGCTCCAGAATCACCTTATTGGTTAGTCAAGAATGACAAATATAAAGAGGCCAAGAGATCGATTGAGAGGCTCATTACTGAAAACAAAAATGTGGACAAAAATATACTTTCTGAAGCGATGTTACAAAAAATGCAAATGACAGTTAAAGGTGAGCAGCAAGAAAAAAAGCTACCTTCTTATTTGGAATGTTTCAAAGGTGTAGAGCTTCGTCGGACACGAATTGCTGCATTGACTTGGCTAACTCAAAACCTATGTGGCGCCACTCTCTTGAGTTATTCGAGCTACTTCTATATTCAAGCAGGTATGGCTCCAGAGATGTCATTTACATTTACAATTATTCAATTTGCACTTGGTATTGTAGGCACTATTGGGTCTTGGTTTTTGTCTAAGAGATTTGGTCGCTTTACAATTTATTTTGGAGGGCTTTGTGCTTTAGCTGTAATATTGATGGTGATAGGCGGGCTTGGCTGCTCAACTGATAAGAATTCTATGTGGGGTGTTGGCACTCTTCTAATTATTTACGTTATGGTCTACGATTTAACTGTCGGTCCGTTATGTTATTGTATTGTTGCTGAAATACCTTCTGTTCGTCTTCGCGCAAAGAGTATTATTATTGCTAGAAACCTCTACAATATTTCTGGAATAGTTTTGAGTATACTTACTCCTTATATGCTTAATCCAGGAGCTTGGGATTGGCTGGCAAAGGTTGGGTTTTTCTGGTCAGGATTCACTATTGTTTGTGCAGTCTGGTGCTTTTTTGATTTACCAGAGACCAAGGGAAAAACTTTTGCGGATCTTGATTATCTTTTCCAACAAAATATCAAATCAAGAGACTTCAAAAATACGGAAGCTTCTGTTTTTGATGCCGAGAGCTACATCCATAAACTAGGAGATGATGGGATAAAGCAGCTTGTTGAGCAGAATGAGTTTGCCAATAATACTGGAAAAGTATAATAATGCCCATGATTTCTTAATTACACTTGGCTTAGTTTCTCTTACAGTATATTTTTTATGTACACGAAAATATATGTATTACTTCAATGTTATTTATTAATAGCTTCACACTTAAGTAAACCTGAATCTTAAACCCTCAAGAAGTCTTAACTAATTAGAATGGGATTTACTCAAAGTTATTTGACTAAACTTTTAGCAAACTACTTGTGCATTTGAATAGGAGTGGAAAAGAAGGTTATGAAGAATAAACTCAAATTAGAAATTGTTTCCAATGGTTAATTTTGTACATTTATAGAACATTCTAAATAATCATTAATATTTATTTAAGTAAAGTGAAAGCTTCATAGGGTTTCAATTCAACACTTGGTCCAGAAACCTTTGATCTGTCGTAGTTAGATAATATAACTTTGCTATTTTCAAATTCCTCAGGAATGGTCCACAGAACAGCATCGCTAGAAAAGTTGCAAATTATAATAGCACTCTTATCGCTAGTAGTACGTTTAAATGCCAAGACCTTTTCGTCTTCAATACTTGTAACCATTTCAAACCTTCCATATATCAAGATATCTTTCCATTCCTTTCTAATTTTTAAAATGCTTCTCCAATAGTTTAAAACAGATTCCGGATCTTTTTCTTCTTCTGCTGCATTCCATTCCAAGTAGTCCTCATTGACATCTATCCATGGGGTTGACGAGCTAAAGCCGGCATTAGCTGAAGTATCCCATTGAACTGGATAACGTGCATTATCTCTTGATTTCTTCTGGTATTCAGCCATGGCTGCCTTAAGAATTTCTGGAGATGCGCCATCTTCTTTTAGTTCATTATAATGGTTAAGGACTTCAAGATCTCTGTAGTTGGAAATATCCCATGTTTCTGGGACATTCTTGAGCCCTAGTTCCTGTCCCTGATAAACAAATAATGTGCCTTGTTGAAGTGCTAAGAAAGTACTGACCATTTTGGCACTAATCTTTCTGAATTCTGGGCTATCTTCAGCAAAACGAGAAACGGAACGTGGTTGATCATGGTTTTCCAAATAAATAGCATTCCAACCACCATTCTCTTGCATAAATGTTTGCCACTTGTTGATAATTTTATAAGCATCAGCGAGCTTCCAGCTTCCAGCTGTAAACTTGCCTTCATTCCCATGGTCAATATCTACCAATTCAAAGTTGAAGATCATATTCAATTCGTGACGGTCGATATTAACTGCCTTAATAATTTCTTCAGGGTCATTACAAGCAGGCATTTCGCCAACACTGAAAGCGTCGTATTCGATAAGGATTTGCCCAATTCCTTGTAAGTATTCATGTAGTCTCGGTCCACAAGCAAAATAGGGAGAACCATCCTGATATTTAGCATTTGGATGCTTAACCTCAGCATCCGGGAATCTTTGGTCTTTTGAAATAAAATTGATAACATCCATACGGAATCCATCAGCGCCTTTATCCAACCAAAATCTCATAATGTCATGAACTGCTGCACGGACATTTTCGTTCTCCCAATTCAAGTCTGGCTGCTCAACTGCAAAAAGATGCAAATAGTATTCTTGAGTTGTTTCATCGAAGGTCCATGCGCTTCCTCCGAAAGCAGCAGCCCAATTATTTGGAGGTTGTCTGTTACCTTCTGAATCATATCTCGGTTTACGCCAGATATACCAGTCGCGGTATGAGTTTTCAATACTAGAGCGTGATTTTTTGAACCATGGATGCTGATCTGATGTGTGATTAACAACAAGATCCATCAAGATTTTTAATCCACGTTCATGCACGCCTTTGATAAGTTCATCTGCATCTTCCATTGTACCATAAGCAGGATAGATCTTCTTGTAATCCGAAATATCATAGCCCATATCAACCTGGGGAGAGTCAAAACAAGGACTTAACCAAATTGCATCCACACCGAGAGACTTGATATAGTCCAAGCGTGAAGTAATACCTGGAAGATCACCGATTCCATCACCATTAGAGTCTTGGAAGGAAGAAGGATAGACTTGGTAGACGGTGGTTTCCTTCCACCATGATGGCTTTAAAGCTTTATTCAATTCAATAACTGTCATTTTGAGTAGATATTTCAATAATTGAAACAAAAATTAAAGAGAATTTACACATATTTATATTTATATCGCCTGTATATTCTCTGTACTTGTGTAATTTCGCATATTTCTATATTCTCCATTCTCGCTATGTTTGCTGCTATATATTTCGCTCAACCCTTCGCTGAAATTGCTGCTCAATCTATTGAATTTTCTGTTCATTATGTTTACTGTGCCTAGATTTTTGAGAGTGGGGTTTATTTAACCAAGCGAAATATTTTGCGATAATTTGAACGAATTATTTAACTTTAGTCTAATCGCTTATGTAACAAATGCATAATATCTCGACATTATGATTCTTGCAAAATTATACCATTACCAATTTGAATCCAGTCGATACTATTCGATGAGAAGACATAATTTATAAAGAAATTTGTACATCTGCTGCAAATTAATTTAGTGAATTCTTATTTCAGTAAAATCAGAATACTTATCATGAAGAGTACATTTGCTTACAGTTATTCGAGCTATCATTGGATATAATGTTTTCATGCCTTATGGCTTTTACTAATATATCTTCCCGTTAGCCGTTAACTTGGAACAACCGGAAGAGTAATCCTATTCTTGTATTTACTTTTTCAATATAAAGAGATTTTTGGACCTCTAGAATGTAGATAATATTTAGAGATTAAGTAAATTATATATTATAATTAATACTGCATTTGATTGAATTGAACCTGAATCTGATTTGAGAATTTACTTCAACATACATGATACACTAATATTATATTTATACTTCTTATAAATATAATATTATTAATACCTTGTACTTTTAAGAATATTTTATAGTATGGACTTGAAACGTAAATGAAACGAATAACAATCTAAAAGTTTTAATTCTCTAGATACATCCTTTGAAGAAATCAGAACGTTTATGTATAAGTTCAGTCCGCAAAAAGAGAACCAGCTATTCATTTAATTAAGGCTGGTGAGTGAAAAGTATATCAAGGTGAATTATATCGCCGAGAGTTTTGCTGCAAGCGTTGGGGTCAGGGAATTGCATCTAAATTAGGTATTTCTTAAGCTTAGTTACTCTATATTTAGTTTCTAGTAACCTCTTTAATATTTACAATCTATTACGAATTAAAGTTAAGTTGGGTAAATGAAAGTTTTATCTTCTAAATCTGTAAGATCTAAAGCAACAACGTTAACTTCGAAAACTTCCCCTTCTTCGTTCTTGACATGACCAACCTTCAGCTTTTCATCCAAAGTTGTTAATCTCTCTTTGTTTCTTCTATGTAAAATAAACCATACAGTACCAATCAAAACTGGGGCAGTGAAAAAACTTAGGACAATTTGAACAACCCATGCAGGGATATAATTAGGAGCACCCTTAGCTCTCCATAGTTGTGGTGAGATAATGTTTGCAACAGAATATGAAACCATGATCATTGCATTTCTGACCAATCTCTTGGTATAACTTGCACCTGCAGTGCTTTGTCCTAAACCAAATGCACAAATCCATCCAACACCAAAGGATTGTGAGGCTAAGGAAATAGCTGTCAATACACCTGTAGCATTAGTCAATGGAATGGAAACAGCAGCAATTGAACCAGCAAGGGATGGTAAGGTGGACCAAATAATTGTGAGACAAGTCTTTCTTGGTTTCCATATCATGAAAAGACATGCAGCTAATGACCAAAATACAGCAAATACAGCAAATCCAGCTCCTGCAACTGTCACTAAAGTTGAGTTTAAATTACTTAACCCACCCATTTCCTCGTACAAGATTGTTTGTTGATAAGGTAAGTTGTTAGCTAACTGTTGTAAAAGGAAGAAACCAACGATTAACCAAGAAATTGGATCTTTGAAAGCTTCAATTGCATGACGTTTTTTGAACATTTTTTGTTCAATAGACTGGTGGGAAGTATTTTGAACTTTTCTAATGACCCAGACCTTTTCTTCTGTGGTCAAAAAAGATGCATTAATTGGATTATCTGGGTATGAGAAGAAAACAAATACGGGTAAGATTAAGGTTAATCCGCCTATAATAATATTCAAGACTCGCCAATCACCAATGTCTGCACCAGCGTACAAGACACCGTCACTTATGAACCCAATTGGGATAGGTGATGCCATACATGAAGCGTAGAAAACTGGCTGAGTCAGTTCTCTAACATGCTGACTTAAAAACATACCATTGGTGGTAAGCATAATTGGTATTGCAACCGATTCAAGTAATCCGAGGAAAAACCTTAACACTATAACACCCGCATAATTATAAGCCGCACAATGCAAGAAAATATCCAAGGACCAAAAAAATGTAATACCAAAAATTAATTTACTGATTGATAATTTTTGAATTAAATAAGTACCTGGTAATTGACCGACGATGAACCCAACGTAAAATATTGTGTTAACATTATTATATTTATCTTGATCTAATCCAGTAGCTTCCCAGAATCCAGAGATGGAACTGTATGATAAAGTAGCTTTATCCATATACATAATCATGTTGATTAAAAAAGTAAGGCCCAAGACTCGCCATAATTATTTTCTACTGAGCTCCGTATCTTGCTCAGGAGTAATAATAGGAGTTTGGGAATCATGAGCTTGCATAAATGAAACTGCTACATCGGCATATTTGGTACTGACTATAGCGTCTTCGTCGCTGTGGTTAAGCACATTTACAGAAGAAGCTGCAGAAAAATTCACGAAGTTCTTCATATATGAAATTGTTGAGGTGTAGGGATGTTATTCGATTCGGAGATTGTTGTACAGGACATCAATTGAAGCATCAAATAACCAGTATCTAATTCTCTTCCAAAAATGACAGAAATAGATTATAATCGAAGTCATAATCAATAAAATTCTTGAAAGTGTCATAATTGTCGGCGTCTAGAAATTTATCAATCTCTTCAATAAAATCACTATTAACTGAGAGAAGACTATCTTGAAAAAGTGTTGGATACGTATTTTGAATAAAATCCAAGCTAAATTGAAGGCAAACTCCAACTTTATAAGTGATGAAATATTTAGCATGAAGCTGAATGCATTTTTGATACAAATCTTTATATTTTATAACAATATTTTTTACGGAAATCGTATTATCCATAATATCTATATTTGCCCATGACCTTATGTCAAAATCAGATGATTCAAAGCTTTTAACTGCAGTAGATAAATTATATTCTCCGTCAAGAGAGCGACATAATAAGCATATCATAGGAGGTATTACCTTTGCTAAGGATGACCAAATGCTAGTACCAATTAACTTTTCAAACTCGATTCCAAAGAATAAGGTTGTATCTTTTGTGAAATAATCACCTAAAAGAGATAAAATCATTCCTTTTTCAAGAGCCAAATGTAGAAAATGAGCCTTACAATAACCCGAGGATATTTCATCATTCCAGACTAAAAACAAAAAGTAATATAGCATGAAGGATTTATAATAGAGATCTATTCTCATAATAAATTCCACAACTCCATAACTTTTATGGCTATTCGTGAAACCTATGTCAGAATTTATTAATTCCTGAAAATTATACATCTCTCTGTATAATAATTTATCAAAATCATCCAAAATAGTTGAAACATGAAGTAAACTAATCTCTTGTTTTCTATTGTTCATTAACAAGACCACTTTTTTTATTATTGATACACCCAAAAGTTTTAGCCTGAGTTGTCTTATAATAAATTCCTCTTCAACTTCAAACACAGTACCTCCCTCTTCCAAACCTTTAGAGAATTCTTTGGTATCAAACTCAGAAATTGAAGGTTGTATACCAAAATTAAATGAATTAAAACTATCATCATAAAGAAGTTGAAGCCAAATTTTCCTTCGTATATATAATTCTTGTTTTGAAATAAACAGATTCACCCTTATGTTCAAGGAAAGTCCTTGAATTACTGACATATCAATAGCAATACCTAATAATACCCTCGTATCTGATGATTCACTATCATCCTCAGGACAGATTGTCTTATACGTTCGTAAAAGTAAAATTGCTTGAATTATATCTAGATTAATTCTTCCAGATCCTTCTGGGGATAAAAGTAACATTTTGGAATATTCAATGTAAGAAGACGGTATAGTAATTTTGGGTTCAGTGGGATCACTTTCTGAGGACAAAGTCAAGGCTGCAAATCTCAACATAATCAACAATGCTGATAGTATTCCACATTTAATTGGCAGTATATTCTCCAGAGAATAGCCTCTATCCTCCGATAAGGGAGAAATATTTTTCATAAAAACGTCTTTATCGAGAAATGGAGCTAATGGATAACATACTTGAAAGAATCGCTCGACCAAATAAATCAAAGTTTCATACGGTGGTAAACATGGCATTTCTAGCTGCATGGGTTCTGGAATACGGGAACAATCTTCTGTAACTGGAACTATACGATTATGGTTTGAAACGCTAGCGTCTAGATCATTGCCACCGGTTTCCAAGACTTTCTCTTCTTGAAGTTCTGCGTATTTCGCAAGAACTTTAATACCATACTGGTCATTCATTAAAAGGCTTAAGTAACTTGTAGGCCCGTAATATGTCAATCTTAAATTCTTCAAGAGAAGGCTATGAAAATTGGACATATTGACCTTTAATTTCTGATCTTCTAGTCCATTACGCACAGATTGTTCTATGGTTGTGTTCCTTCTCATCTCATCCAAGGCTGCCTTTTGATTACCGACCATATTCTCTAAAGAACTTACTGTCGTTTTCAAAATCCCTAATTCTTTTCTCAATTGTGCATTCCCCGGCTCATATACCATCAATTCTCTTTGCCAAGGGTTAGAATCATATTTACAGGTTACTGTTTCTCCTTTTTCCAAGCATGAGCTACAATACGGGAGCTGACGATCACATTTAATTTTACGCTTTCTGCATCTTCCACAAGAGTAGGAGAACTTAGTTCTGCTGTTAAATTCACAATTAGAACGATTCATTTTAGAAATGTTTATCACTATTTCATAAGATTCGAATTTTGGTCTCTAATTAAATTTAGTCTTTGATCCAGATCCGTGAATATTTGATCTGATTATGTGATCAAGTTTTTACCGGAGCATTCGTTAAATATGATAAAGCTAATTACAACAGGTTGTGCCCGGATCAGTCTTAAGTTTATTCTTAGAAAAGAATTTTGAAATATTTTGTCCGATTGGCTCGCACTTTATGTGAATTCAACACGCAAAAACGAAATTGATCTAATTAGAAAATCGTATGTAAGCTATTTGTAACATTTCTCAATACGGAACTAATTTCTACTTGACGGCTATAAGCCGCATAGTGTATAAGCCGCATTGATTGCTGCATACTTACTAGAGGCAAAATCCATAATATATTAAATTCAAGACTACATAAATATGGGATGGCTTCACCGCAAAAATATCTAACTTACTATTTATTTCAAACAAAAAAAAACAGAAAATTGTCCAAGAAATTTTATAAACATGTCTTTTCTTGGTCACTATACAACTGAAACAGTAACTTATCCGTCTCATGGTGAGAATATTGCTGGGGTATTATATCGTCCAAACAATGTATCTAACCCACCTGCCGTTGTAATCATTGGTCCTTATTCCTTTGTTAAGGAACAGGCTCCAATGCAATATGGTACCCGTCTTGCAAATCAAGGATATGCTGCGTTGATTTTTGATCCTCGTACCGTTGGTGAAAGCACTGGTGAACCAAGAAGACTAGAGAATCCTAAAATGAAGAACGAAGATGCAATTGCTGGTATCGATTATCTTGTCCAAAGAGGTGATATTGATAAAGCAAAAATTTTTCTTGTTGGCGTTTGTCAAGGAGGACCTGAATCTTTGGATATCGCTTCATACGATGATAGAGTTGCAGGCGTAGCATCTGTTTCAGGCTACTACCGTGACCTTGAAACAGATATTTATATGATTTGTGCTGGTTGTGTTGATTGGAAACCAGGTGCTGATGTCGCAACAATGAAGATGCCTACTCCAGAACAAGGGAAAGTACTTTACGACGCCCGAATTGAGAGAGCAAAAAAGGCTCGAGAGCTTTACGACACAACTGGGGAGGTTGTCTACCAGCCTTTGGTTGATCCAAAAGTTGCAGATCCAAACACTGGATCTTTAGCAGGGTTACCGGGTCCAGTTATTTGGTCATGGTATGGACCATGGACTTTGAAGAAATTCGATAACCGGTATGCAATCATGAGCGACTTGGATCATTTTAGCTATTCTACTGTTGAGGGTGTTGCGAGGCTCACCAAACCCGCTTTAATTATCCATGGCGATAATTGTATGAACCATGCTGCAGCAAGAAGACATTTTGAATCTATCCCAACTGATAGAAAGAAACTTATATGGAATGATAAGTCCCATTTTCAACATTATGATCAGCCAGATGTTGTGGATCAGGATGTTGGTGAAATTGCTGCTTGGTTTCAAATAATCTAAATAGAGAAGCTTGACATGTCATGTGATCATACCGTTCAATCCTGAGCAAACGCTAACGTATAAATAGCTGCTAATATTCCAAGCAATTTAAAGAATGTTTGGTTGAACTTAGGATTAGATGAAATAAGATCTCAAGCATAGTATTATGGTATGAAGAAAGGTATAAATGATTATCCAAAACAAACATTGTAGAATTGTGGCGCGAGAAGGTATAAATGTAACTGACTTTTTCAGATACTTTGAAAATGTGATACATAGTCAACGCCCTGTAATGATAGAAAGTTGATATGGATGACGTTATAAATGTTTCTGGCTTAAGTGACTAATAAAACTCTTGAAATCATCAAAAAAAAAAACTCCTGAAAACACCTTTATCAAGGATACTTTCTGCGTTTATTATATCATCTTCAATAAATAAACTATCGAGATCCATTTCAACTAATTGTATTAATAAAGGGCCCATGAAATACGTCTTTGATCCAGCATAAATTATGGTTATCAAAACGACAGAAAATTAGCAAAAAAGGTTTTTGCGCTGCTTACTTCCTTCCATGGCCAAACTGATAAATAAAATTTGATTACTATCCCCTGCACTTGGAGATTGCGCGTTTTTCCCATAGTTAAGGTGCACACCCGTTTGGGTGCAATGTCGTAAATGTTTGTAAACTGGAAAAAAAGAGAAAGTGAAATTTTATTACGTTATCGAAGAATTTTAGTAAAGCACATAATTGCACATTAGGAACGTAGTCGTTTATGGTTGTTCGCTTTGTTGAAAGATTTTATCTATCTTATTTGATGCTGAGCTTCCACTTAAATATTTTCAAATACACTTGTGCTTTTCATATTGTAACCATTCAATGCCACAACATATGAATTTCAAACTTGAGACTCGAAAAGCCTAAATCAAGAATTAACGTGTGCAACCTACACCTATATAGTGAAATGCAACTTCGTAAATGCGAATGTAAAATCAGCGGTTTTAATTTTTTGTCATATGACACAACTATAACTTGCAAATTGTTGTTTTTGATGTGTTTTATATAGTAGTCCCCTTAGAATTCAGCATATTAAAATTGTTTAAAAACGTATACGTCTTCTTCCATCCTCCTGATATCATCCGCGATGTTACTAATTTGTTAATCTTGGTCCCTTCGCGATATCGACCAGCTCGTGCATTGAATTATGTAACACTGCATAAGAAAGGAATTCGACGAAAGTGGCGGGGTATGAGCAGCAGCAGCAACCAGATATCAACGGAGTCGATATTGGGAGTGATGCCATAGCCGCAGTTATCTTGGATGAAGACGGCGAAGACAACAAAAAAACCCCAGAGAAGTATTTGGAGGCCACGAATACAACAATATCGTCCTCGCAGCTGCAAACAGTTGCGGAGTCTTTGGCAAGTTTGTACTATCCTCTCTATGGCCACGACAACGACAATAATGAAGAAGAAGAAGAAGAAGAAGAAGAAGAACTTGTGTCGTCAAAAGAAAATGCGTTTGTGGTGTATCTCGGTACCTAGAGGCTAAGTACCCGACCAAGCAGTATTACTGGTCGTTGAGCGGAATATGCTATGTGGCCAGCATTTTGTTGGATATCATCAAACGGGATCACACTTGCCGCGTACCTCTTCGAGAGGCTGAGGATCCGTCTATTGTGGACACCGGTCTGTACCGCATATTGGCCCAGGTGCGCACCCATTATATGTACCTCGGGCTATCTTTGGCTCGAAGCGAGGGTAATCTCTTTCACCTCAACTTTTCCACGGGAGACATCTTCAACCGTGACAACGTGGTTGTGAGCCACAAGATATTCGGTCGGCTGTACGATCTTGCACAAGGGATCATTCGAAATGTGTCGGACGGTGAAGAATTAGACTACTCAGTTGACAACGCCCGGATGGTATGGTTTCGTTTACTGAATGCGTGAGAGTACCGCTGTATTCGCAATACAAGTACTGCGTGCTTATGATCCATAACAACAACATTGACCTGTTCCGGAAGGAGAATTCCAGGGTGTTGATTAGCTTCATCACGCTCCTCCATATCCTGTGCTTGCCGGCACGGTCAACAGAGATACCGATTATCGCTGGAGGGCACATCCAAGATGTATCGGGATGTGTACTTCCTTGGCCCCACTTTTGGGTTTTGCTATAACTATAACAAATCGGCCAATTCCAAAGACCCCATCACCCGGGAAATCGGTCCTGAGTTGTCGTCATTGTTTTTATGATATGTACTCGTCTTCAGACGATTGTAAATGGAGCCGTCGCGTGTGGAGAACAGTGCCAAGTTGTACCAGTTTGCTGCAACGCTGCCGGACAAGATTCGGAGAGGAGTACTGTATTAGTTCACGTACGGCATGAATAACCAGCGCGATTATAAGTTTTGCGAGGTGCGCCAGATCCTCAAGCGATGCATCGAGTTCCATTACACCAAAGGTGTCAGTGTGGATCTCGAAATTAACCGTCTGGCTTACGAGACCATTACACGGACTCTGGGCCATTCGGTGGCCACGTTCACGGAGCATTATGGGACGATTGCCAATTATCCGCCATCCGTCAACGCCGCACATGTGCTCCGGTCCCGTCATTTGGGCCAGGTCTGGCACCGGCTGGGATTGCGTCGGAAGTTTATCAGTTTTGAGGAATGTATAGTTGATCCTGTACCTGATCCAGCGCCTGATTCTGTTGTTGATGCGGATGCGGAATCCTGTTTATGCAGATGACGAAGTTGATTCTATTTCGGATATGCTTGGGATCCGAGCTGGTATAGCGGAGCGTTGATTTTTGTGTCGCCTGATAAAGCAATATTTTCAAGTTTAAGCAGTTTGAAGTGGGAATGAAGCGATGAAGTCGTGAAGTGTTAGAAGCGAATGAAAGCTGGGGTCATAGCGTAAATTGAATGAGAGAATGTGGAGTTATTGAATTAGGAAGTAGGAAAATGATTAATCCGTTTAATTGTTTGTTGGTTAGCGGAGAGGCGATGAGCTGGGGATAATATGGATGTTGGAGCTTTGAGTTGGTTTCGATAAAGATGTTGGCTTTATCGAGTAGTGAAGAGGATGATTATTTCAGATAGAAAGGGCGTTGTCGTATCTATTGCGTGAATTTATGCCTTTAGATTGGAATGCGATTATGAAGGGTAATCTATAGAATATTGAAGAGCGATATGGAGGGCGATATGAAGGCCCTGGGAAGATTAGTTATTTGATTGAAGCCGGGATATCGGTAGTGGATAGTTAAATAAGGTATATAGTCCGGTTGATTTAGTATATATTTAGGGCGTTTTAAGAGAATTATATAAGGAGCTAAAATGAAAAAGCTGGTAGAAAGATGGCGTTATGGAGAGGGCGTCGTGAAGAAGGTGTTATGAAGAGGTGCGTACGTATGAAATTGAGGAGTTTTTGAGGAGAGATTGCGTAATAGGTGGGATAAGGTGAGTGTAAATTGATTGAATTGTGATGATATGGGTTGGGTTTGAGATGTAATGGTTGTTAGAATGAAAAGAGAAGAGGAGGGAGAATAAGGGATTTAAATGAGTTCGGGCGTTGGGATGGATTAATAAAGTGGTAAGGAGATAGTAGCGTGGCGTCAAAATATGGAATAGGTAAATAAATAAAAGAAAAAAAAAAGAGGAGGAGGTATATAGTTATTATTTGCGTTATTATTTGCGTTAAATGAAATTGGAAGTGGATAATAGATTTTGAATTTGGTAAAGTTTATATATAGTAGAATAAGGGTTGAGAATTGTGATTTTATGAAAGGAGAGGTAAATAGCGTAAGATGAAGTATTTTGTCGGTATGATGAGATTGAGAAAGAAGTAAATGAAGGATGAAAGGAGATATTGATAAAGGTTAAAGTAATATGCTTTGGTGAATGGTGAGTTTATAGTTAGAGTAATAAGTCGTGATTTGGAAGGTTGAATTGGTAAAGTTTAGGCGATATTTCAGGAGGAGAAAAGGAAGTCGGGGTGGTATAGATTGAGAATGAAGTAAATAATGAGATTAATATTGAAGAGAGTGATAATATTAAGTGATATAAAGGAGTTATGTTGAAATATAGAAATGTATTGAAAAAGAAGTAAAATAACAAGATTGGGGATGAATGTGGCGATAAAATATTTAAATTAAGAATTGAAGAAGTAATATAATTTGTGGAGAAAATTTAAATGAAAAATTGAGGTTTAAGGTTTATTGGATTGATAATATTTAGGAAATTTTAAAGGGCCGGAAGTAGAGTTGGTAAATTTTGAGATAAGATTTAGAGGATTAGGATAAGGAAAGGAAGTTAAGGAAGGGTGGGAATGAGTTAAAAAGTGGAGATAGAGGTTAAGTAATGAAAGGTTGGAAATGAATAGAGGCGATGTTCATAGTTGGGTGGATTAAAGGCGGATTGTAATAATAAAATTAATTAGAGTAAAAGATTGAAGTTTAGCGTTGTATCGAAATATAAAATGAAATTGAAAGAGGGGAGTTGAGATGGCGGTGCGGAGGAATTTTTAAATTTAAGAATTGATTAAAAGAAGTGTAGATTGTTTGGAATGGAGTGGGGATATGGATTTTGAAAAGGTTTGTTGTAAAAGTGGTTGATAATATTTAGGTTTGAGGGTTGGAGAGTGTATTGAGGAGTTTGAGATGAATTTATAATGAAAAGAATAGGAAAATGTAGTATGATAGAAGGGTCGGGATTGGTATGAGTTAAGAAGAAGTGTAGGGATGTTGAGGTGTAGGCAAAGTATATTGTTCTGTATTATATTTAAGAGCAGCTCTTTATATCTATAAACCTAACCCCATATACCTAAAGGATGCTTATCAAGTGATACTAATTTTTTTATTCTACGTACTAAAAATCCTACGCAAACTGGACCAAGAAATGTACAAAGAACAATTGCCCATGTGACAATAATATAAATATCAGATGAGCCTTCCTTCGGCTCACTATTAGGAGAAAACACACCTTTCGCTTCGGCCAATGAAGATATTAAAAATCCTATTTCACCTCTGGCAACCATTGCTAAACCAAGCATTGATGTAGGATATATATTTTGTATAGAAAAATGATTTTTTTCATCTTTAAAGCGAATGAGCCATAATCCGCAAGCGAATTTCGAAACTACCATTAGCAATGCATAAATAAAACCTTTCCAAATTAATCTTCCTATAAACATTTGAGTTATAGGTATAGAAAACCCGATCGAAGCAAAAAAAAATGGTTGCAATATTTTGTTCATGACTTGGGAGTAAAATTCGTCAAACACTTCAGATCCAGTAAAAACTAGTTCTTGATCATAATTTTCAAATTCCTCTTTTCCGTTATTATCAATAGAGAATTCGGTGATTGGCGATTCTAAATTATTGGTCATACTGCCTTGATTAAAATTAATTTTCTCGTCCTTAGCCTCACTTTCACATTCTACACTTATTAACGTTTCGTCTAACCACGAAAGTGCTGCACCAAAAACATATGCAGCCGTCAAATTTGAAGCTCCAGCATATGTTGCTCCAGTAATTAGACCAATTAGTGCAATAGTATGTAACACAAAATAATACTTTTTTGTCTTTAATAATATTCTCAAGATTCTTGGAAATGTTCTTTTTTGTTTTCTAAACCATAATGCAAACGGAAGCATAAAAAATTTAGCAACTACCCCAACTATAACTATAAGCGCTATTGAAACAAATACGGGACGTATAACGCTGATTGCATTAAATGATCCATCACCCAAATTTGAAATTATTTTGATCATTACTAATCCAAAAATATCATCTAGTACAGCAGCACTAGTCAATATAATGCCAACTCTACTTTGCTTGAACCCAGATGTTAGTAAGACAGTAAAAGATGCACCTAAACTAGTGGAGCTTAGTGCAGCACCAGCTGCAAACGCAGCTACTGGTGTAGCGTTGGAATAGCCTATTATTGAAAAACTGAGTGCAATAGGAAGACTAACACCAGTGAAAGCAACCAAAAGTGCTATATGAATATTGGCTTTCAAAACGTTGAAAGAGGTAGACAATCCTCCTTCGTATACCATCAAGAGTAATCCAATGTACCCCAATTCCATAATACTTTCTTGGGAATGTTTGCTGAGCCAATTTGTACCAGGTACTCCATAGCAAACGCCTAGAAGAATCTGCCCAACTAGTCCACAAAATAAAAATTTATTAAGAATGTAATTCAAACCATTAAGAAAAAGCAAAAATGAAGAATATATAAGTAACGTTATAGCACCTGGTTCTTCGAATGGGAGATACGTTGGTGCCATATCTGATGGCTGAAGAAAACCAGAAAAGAATTTTTTCGAGAAATGGGAAAATAGCCGATACAAAACATTGTACACAGTCCACCAACACAAAAACAATTTATGAGCATTCACAACCAGCAAAGGATAATAAGGGGGTAATACGTATTTTCACAACTAGATACTCTCGTTTAATTGGAGTAAGATTATCTGCTACACGGTACTAATCAACTATGTTACATGGATTATGATTGAATCAAAAGTATTGAAGGAACATCGTCTATGATTATTGCACCTTGTTTTCATCAAAATATAAAATCATCTAATATGTATTAAAGTCTCAGCATTTTTCCCATAATCTCCTTAAATATAATGCGCTGTTTCTGTATGTTTCCATCATCCATAATTCTCGGCGGGTTGGCTTATGCAGCCAATATTGCATTTCTGTGCGTTTTGAAAATCTATTTATTGAGCATGAGAACTGCTCGCTTTATTTCTCGTTTAGATAGTAAAAATCGTTCTGGATCCAAATAGTTTCTAATTAATGCATATATTGGAGGAGGCATATCTAGGTTAGTAAATTTGAATTTTAGCGATGAATTATATAATAATCTGACGATATTTGAAAGAGCGAAATGATTACAGCATAAGGCGAAAACGCAACACAAAACGAGATCACATGGTTTCGATTACCATAATCATCCTATATAAATTATTAGCATTGAAGCACATATAGACTATATATGAGGCTATTATTACAGTGTTACCATTTTAAAAGATGGCCATTCGACATCTCTCAATTTCAGCTTAAAACTATTACTTTATAAATTTCTAAAATTTCTTAAAAATCACCCAGTTTATGATTTTTTCATATCATTTAGTACAAATTTCAAAATTATAAGAAGCAACATTTCAACTTTGAAGAATCACTCTTATAAGTATATATTCTTCACGGAATATAGTCTACATGATATAAGTATAGCACTGCAAGCCCTAGTACATGAATTTAGAGGAACGGCTCCAGCCAGAAAATGTCACCCGAAAACTTTTGTAAGATCCCTTCTTATCGCGTAGTCAGGCTGCTAAATAGGCTCGTCAGGGTTCCTATACCTTTCATATATCTTTTTGAATTCTGCATCATCCCAAGGTTCTAACCAGGGGGTTTTCAATTGTTTTTATGAGTTCGGGACTTTTAAAAATTTGATACAGACATCTGTAGTATTACGGGGCTCTTTCCCCAAGTCTCTATGTATCCACTATCTAATCTCTTGCAAAACCATAGACACCGTAATCTGTGACATAATGCAGAATAAAATTAAGGCATATTTAGGTAATACAAAAACTCTTAAGATTGTTATTCACTCAACACATCAAATTAGACCACCCCATATACTCCTATTCCAAGAGAAAACTATCAAAAGTAAAAAAAAATTAAAACTTTTTGTATGGAGTTGAAAATTTTACAACTTGCAGTTGCAGGGTAGTTATAATAACATTTCCGAAGTTAAGCCGGAAAATAAAACTTTCATATTTCCAGTAATACTTTGAAGCGCTACGACAACATATGGGGTATTATGACAGCATATGAAGTTTTATGATATAATACCAATAAATGTTCTCAAGAATAATGGTAATGGTGCAAAATCAATGTTTTTTTCTAAAGCATATAATCCGTCTATTGCCCTGCGAGAGGGACTTAGTTATTTCGTCTTTGAAATATCAGATCCGAGTTTTACATTACGAATCTTTCACATACCTAAAAAAATATCAAAGATAATGAAGTTCGTTACGTTCTTATTATTTTTCTTAGTGTCCACCTATGCATCTAATTTTCCAACTAAACAAGAAATTGCCAATACGGGGGACTTACCTCGTGTAACTATACTAATCAGTAACATATCGAAAGAGGCAGAGGGATATTTAGGTGGTGGCAACGGTAATAAAATGCCAGATGAGCTATTTAAAACATCAGTGGTAACGGACGAGTTCAAGCAGATGATACAGAGTTTCGGAAGGGACAACAGATTAGACCCGTTTGCATTTGACTTTAAATAGTTCGATATATGAAAAAGAACAACAGTAAGTCGGCATATGTGAACGAGAAGAGATCGATATCGGTTCCGGTTTACGTAAAACCTGATACGTTGAAGGAGTGAACGTATATCAAGAAATTCGATTGAGCACTTCGAGAACTTGGTTAGTAGAGAGCTGGTATGAAATTCAAGGCGATTTTCTAGATTCAGCCCTTGCACAATTAGGGAGAGCCATTGCCGATTTAAAGAATAATTCAGCCGGTGGGACTTGTCGGGGGTATATACAATTCGTGGAGGCAGCCGGATTAAAATGGCAGTGTGCCGTCTCGGCTTGGACTAATGAGACCAATGATGAATGTTATACTGATGGAACAGCTAGCATGTTCGCTAATTCCTGTGACGAAGCCATTGAAGAAGCCAATAGACGCGAGATGGCGGCCTACTGCTTAATTGGTTGGAATGGTGGTACATTCCATGCAGATGCCAGAGTTTTTTTACCCCTATGCAAAGAATGCTAATATGTAGGATTTAGACTGTAATAATTAGTTCTTGAAAAAAAATGAGAATATGGAAAAAGAAATATTTAGAATAGATTATTTCAAAAGTTATCAAATAAAGGTAAATTATTATCATTATTAAAATATTTCTCTGATATGAATGATCGATTATTAGTATATTAGATTGGACCAAGACAGTTAGTTTGGCTAAGTCAGTTAATTTCATTTACTAACCGTTTATTCTGTAATTAGTATAAACCGATGACAATCAGCTCAACTGAAGTAAATCCTACTTCGTTGTAGTCTCAGTTTACGTATCGTAAGATTCGAAACTCGTTGCTCTATGATTTACCTCAGAAGAAATGATTTCCTCACCTTCATCATTCAAAGCCTAATAAAGCTGCAATATATCCACTTACAGGCTTAAACAAATATTCTTTAAAGTTATCTATGTAAGTATCTTCCACTTTTGATATAATATGTTTAGTAAGTTCATAACTTCATTGAAAACTAATGTAAAGCACATTCGTTATTATTTTCCTAGTATGATCTTCATTGAAATATATTTGTTTTCAAAATACTATCTGCAACGTCTGGAATTTCTTGGTTCAGTGATTCAAATTCTATATCTGAAAAGTTCGAATTAGAGGCTGTCAGTTGCATCACTTGGACAAATATTATGAAGAGTACCAGGGTTTGGTAAATTTCCATCTTTGTCTTCGAACTCGTACTCCGTGAATGGCATAAAACAAAAGAAGATGGACAAATTGAAGGCTTTAATTACAACTGTGTCTTTCTCAAACAGAATACAAAGCCAATATCTAATCTCTATGAAGAAGCTAAATACCAATGTCTTAAATTATATCCCTGTATTTTCATGAGACAGTTTGTTGTTTATATCTGTTTATTTCTGTATGACCAACTCTTTCTACTATGTGCGTGTGATCTTACACTGGGATGAGACTGTATAATGGTATTGTGATGTTAGAGTTCTAGTGTGGAACCATCAATCTTCTTATCACTTAATGAATTGGAAAACTTCAAAGCCAATATTCAACTCTCAAATAAAAAATAAAATGACCAAGCCAACTATTTGCTCTTATATTGATATATATTTTGTATTTTTTTTTGTTTATTTCTATGAAATGAAATTCGTTTCGATTTAGTAGTACCATGACGTCATGGTACTCTGAAAAGTAAATAAAAAACAGTTTGCACTTTTAGTTTGGGGTTGAACAGTTATCACGGAGCAAGATATAATAGTAAGCTTATGCATAGTATAAGAAATTATAATAGATCAGATGTGAGTTGATAAAAGCCCGCTTTCTTGAAAATGTATGGAATGGTCCGGTTAGTCATGGGATATGAATACATATTAGGATTACTCTGTTAGCGAGATTATTATGTATGGTAGGGTCGCAACAAAATCAATGATTAAGGGATAAGCAAAAAAACGTGAGTGTTCTCATACCTAACCAACTAGCTACTTACTTCTCATGCAATCATGTCATGTATGTACTTCTCAGGAGAAGAGAGTGAAAGTACCACGTATGATGACCCCGAGAATCGGTGTGTTAGAATAATTCCATCATTATACGCTACGGTGCAAAATGACAATCAACAAAACAGAAGGGTCTTTTTGGATACTCATTTATTAAGGAAACGAGACGATGCGGATGAGCAATAGAGCTTTTCAGAGAGAATAGTGCCCAAAAGTGACGCATCTATTTCAGTAGGAGCCATGCCTCTCATGCATCTTGTTGTTTATGTTGCTAATTCATTGATGACGTCTGAATTTGGAGAGATGAGTAGTGATGAATTCAAAGAGAGCTATCTTGCTCCATTTGATGAAGTACTTAAAGATACGAACATTAGCGACAACTTCTTAACCAAAAGATATAAATATCCATTTGGGGATGCTACTCATGTGGATGATGATATCCAAGAGTACTTTAATGAAATAGCAATCCCGATCAGGGGACTTTATCGTGATGTTGGTGATATGGACAACTAATTTGGCAAACCTTCGATGATTCGGTCACCTTTGGATAGAAGAAGAATAGTAAAACCAGATATAGCCCGTATTTTGAAAAAGGGGTCGTTTCTAAATTTGCAAACCCCCGACCTTTGTTTTGCTATAGGGGATTACAGAAAAGGAACATACAATTTGGCACAAGGATTTGAAGAATTAAGGGTAGCTATAAACGATCACAAACAAAATTTATTAAATAAAAAGCAGGTGTGATCACTGAAAGGTCGACCGTTATTTGCTGATAGGGAGTTGTCTCCTGGGATTTTACTTGCTTTGGTTTTAAGGAAATATGTCTATCAAGTATTCCTCTGTGGTACTGATAGGATTTTTATCTCAGATGACCAAACATTCTCTGCCTTTTTTAAATATAGAATTTTGGATGAAAAAATGACTATAGACTACTATAATATTAATAATTCCGAGACTGTTGCACATGGTATTACTTTGGGATCTGCAATAGTGGGTGTTTTTTATAAAAATGTGACTGACACATACGATACAAAGAGTAAATTACTAAGTCAATTTGAATTAGCGTGCAAAACTGATGGACCGGATCCATTTAAGAATGTGTTACCTAGGCAGACTAGTGAACCATCGCGAGGATTATCTATGAGATTAGTAGACTTTCGGAGAGTCTGCCTGGTAATGAGTTTGCAGAAGATTTGGACTTAATCAAGGAAACTGCTGATAGTGATGAGACTGATTAAATTCATGGTAACACGCATTGTTAAGTCATATATGATGCACCAAAACGTTATCCTGATTTAAAACTTCCATACACGGTGTTTGTCAAATTATACTATTATTATAGTCGATTATGGGAAGAGAATGATTTAACATGCTTCAGCATTCCTGATAGAAAGGTTATTATGGCATGTTCTTCAATGAGCTTGTAATTAATGAAAAAATTGCGAAATCACAATTTGCATCCAAGATTCCGAAGCTACTTGTTTCTGGTTATTGAAATGGTCTTCCCGATAATTTGATGCATATATTTGAAAATCTAGGGACAGAAATGCCGATAGACGAATGGAATATGGATAGTGTCTATGAATTTATAAAAGCAAGACTTAACGAGCTCCATCTGTTAGGAATTTCGCATAATGATGTTAGGCAGGCCAACATTCATGTTTAATAGACTTTGGCCTATCGGATTGTTCCAATAACGAAGAATATAAGAAAAATGACTTTAAATCTCTTCACGAAATAGTTCTAATGAGAAAGATAATCAAATCAGCCTTTCTATTCAAGAAAGGGAATGCGTGCATTTTGATAAGGCTGGTAAAGATGACAAATATGAAAGTATATCACTTCTTCTCTCGCAGTTTTTGACGAGGGGAGCTTAGAATCACTAAACACAAGAACAACAAAGGAAGATATTGCTTCGAACAAATCGCATAGGTGATACCTATTTGCGAAGCAGATTTTTTTAAACCTGGTAACTCAAACACATCACCATAAAGTCGCCTAATCGGCATTGATACTTCACTAAAGTAGTCTTGGATATCATGCTCCCTATCTAGAACATCTCCCAATGGATACCAATAGCTTTCTGATAAAAGTCGACTCCTAATACTTGATTTTCTAAGAGCATGATCAAGCGGGGCACGGTACCTATCCCTGAATTTATCAGTACTCATCTCCATGAATTCAGTAGTAATCAATGTACGGTATAAACGGCATATTCCCTATGTCCTGGGATGACCTACTCTTGGGCACTATTCTCTGAGGAGAGTTTTTGCTCACATCTTCTACTTCAAATTCTTAATAAGTGTGTATCCAAAAGATTCTTGCATTTTGTTCCTTCTTAATTTGAACTCACCCATATAACTATGAGTCTCCTATAATGCACTCGTTGCTAGGATCATCAACAGTGATAGCATTACTATCTACCCCGAAAAATATATACATGACGTAATCCCTTCTAAGATATTGCACCCGAATGGGTGTGCACCTAAACCATGGAAAAAACGCGCAATCTCCAAGTGCAGGCAATAGTCATGTGCAGTACATATGCAGTTCATAATCAGTTTTTCTTTGTAACACTAACAAGACGTTTTTTTTTTTATTACATGATCAAGAAAGTCACTTAAATCGGGGTAACCCTAGATCAATCAACATCCCTACACCTAAGCATCCCAACATCCAAAAATTATATACCCAAGCAGACAACCCCCTCCCTTCTGATGTGTTGATACGTAATTTGTAGTTTCATTGTTTTTTTTGCCAGAGAAGGTGAGCAGCTTTATTCAACATTAAAAAAATTTCCATTCTGAGCATTATATTTAATGACTTAAGATTTATTAGGAAAATACTTCAAAATTAATATTTTTATACTATATAAGGTACTCAAAATGTAGTGATGGAAACAGCGGAAGTTGATTGTGAATAACTTGTAGAACGATTTATTATTGTTGCTCGAAGTGCAGCAGCAGTAATATTTCCCTCATCTTGTGGGTTTGGGCCAGGAATAAAGTCAAAAATACTTGTTGAATTACATCCATATATGTACATGAAGTAGTTGTTATGCTCATATATGGTTAAAGTCTCTTGTAGTGTTTTTTGAGTGATTATATTGAAAAGCTGGGATGACAAAGGTTCAAACTTGTACATACCTTTTATTTCCGTGGACCCTTGAGGATGAGGGAGCCTGACTTTATTAATATAGAGCTCAATACCTCCATGAGCATATAAAGGGGTAGGTGGAATAAGTGGAACTATATCAGCTTCGTGTACTACTCTTAAAAACCCACCGAATTGTGTTTTATTAGCATCTTTGTTAACTTCTTCTAAGTATTTAGAAGAGTTGAAAGTTTTATCTATAAATCCAGCAAGATGGTTGTTACCAATTTTCAAACCAGCGAGTGAAATAACTGTGACACGCTTTTTGAAGTCAAGCTGCATTTCGAGGCCAACAAGAACAGTGAGCCCACCTCCGAGGGAATGTCCAGTAGCTATAAGTTCATAATCTGGATATTCTTTCAAGAGATTTTTAATTGTGTTCCATGCCTGTTTTTTAATAACTTCTGTTGCTGCGTAGACACCTTTATGTACAGCACATAAAGAACAACGTTTGTACGGTACTAGAGCGAATTCAAAATCTGAAACCCAATCCTGAATTGTATAACTCCCACGAGAAACAACAACGATATGTTTCTTAGCATGGTTTATTGCGACATAGCCACTTCCACTCATCTGGGCTTCCTTAATATTAGGATTAAGTATTTGAACAATTTCAATATCTTTGTTGTCTTGGCAAAAAGTTAATGTTGGACAAGCTAATGGAAGATCACCAATTTTAAGCAAGGGTGCATCAACTAAAAAGTCATAATTTCCGAAGCCTTTGATGCAGTAGCTTATCCGGCAGTATTCTGCCATATCGACTGCCAAGTTATAGATTACATTGTTATAGGCATCCACAAATGAAATAGTTATAGCAGCAATAAAATATATAATTGGGTAAGCCTTCATTTTTCTAATACCTTTTTATTTTTGATCCTATAAATATTTGAGAAATTTCCATAATTTTTATATGTTTTCAGGTAGAAAAATACAGAAGTGACTTCTTTTTAGTATCCTTTTTATCATTAGTTAATTTTCTCATCTTCCTTACGCCCATTATACTAGTGACAAATAAGATGTTTTTTTTAGTAGAGATTACAATTTATCCGAGGATATAAAACTAGTTTAAGAGTTCTGGTTTCAGATTCCGAGCTTAATATTTTAGAAATAGCCAATAAAATATAAGCGCACATTCCAGTAGTTGCAATTGGTCTTGGAAATAATTACTGCGCGCCTGAATTGTAAATTTGGAGACGTTTTTCTTGACCTGCAGTACTGACCGCGGTTATAAAATAAAGGGAGAACCCCAAGTGGGGAAACTCCACTTGGGGTTTACCTAGATAGCACGGGGGATACTTTGCAACTTTTAAGGTTTTAATGATGTCGAAAAAAAACAGCATTGTCAAACAATATTTGGTTTAAAAGTTTGCAGAACATTTTATAATGATTATTTGAATATGTGTTCTAACCTTGATGCTTTAGAAAATATACGAATTGTATAGCATCAGCATATCTCTGAGGATATATTCCAAAACTATATAGAGCTTGAGATCAGATTTTCGACTTTAAAAATTTTGTGTCCTAGTTTATATGTATCATTCCAAATTTGGGCAGATTCATTTTGAAACTTCTCATTTGAATCAGCCTCCTCTAAATTACCATAATATATTCTAGTAACACGACAACATATATATGAAACCTATTTTAACCCTGACAGATAGTGGTGAGAATGTAACCCTGACAGTGCGAAAAAAAAAAGTGGCCCATACAAAAGTTTCAGGGTGACACTTTTAGAGTGTAATCCCTCCCCCAGTTCGAGTTGTAATGTAGTATTTGGACAACGTGTAGTATATTCCATGTAGTATAGACCCTCCTAGAAGTTATCCTTCAAAGTTGAAATTATACAACATACTAATGAAAGCTATTGAAACCTTGACATAACTTTTGGAAAGCGGAACCGTGACAGTGCGAAAAAAAAATTGGCCCATACAAAAGTTTCAAGGTGACACTTTTAGACTGGAATCTCTCCCCCAATTCGAGCTGTAATGTAGTATTTCAATAATATATAGTATATTCCACAAAGAATAGACCCATCTAGGAGTTGATCTTCAAAGTTGAAATTTTAGTTTTCATGTTTTTCTGATTCTCGGAAAAAAAATAAGAGATTTCATAAACTGAGAGAAATATTTCACAAATATTAAAAATATGAAAGTTTTATTTTATTTCTAAAATGTGACCATTTTATTATATGTATCTATTTGATGTTAAATTTGGAATATTGAGGCCATACGAGTTTTATATGTGCTATAATGATAACTGTAAAACCGTGGTTGCCAACCATTGAAACGGTGTCATTTCATTTTTTGTGTTCCGTTATCGCGCGGTGCTGCAAATAATTTATCAATTGGCCTTATCTTCACATGCGGAACGTGCACACACACGATCCGAGCGTCGACGACAGATGAGGTCCCTTTCTGAAAATATTCAACCCTAGATTTTTTGCAACAAAAATGGAAGCATACGGCATACGTATTGTTGATATTAATGGAATTTCTGTTTTAACACACGACGGAAAATATTCTTAACTCGTTTTCCGAGAGATTTACCCAGAGATATTTAGTGAATGCTGTAGGTGGTTCTAGAATCCGTGAAGACATTCTATCAACAATCAACAACCACTTCGAGAACCAGTCAAAGACGATTATGCGCGCAAAAGTGTTGTATCTATCGACCGTGCGTCAGAAATAGCAGGAGTCAAAGAATCTAGTCTAAATGTTTGCAAGCTTTGCTTTAATCATGCCTCAAAGTCACACATTAATCATCATCTTAGAACAGAACACAGGGCCACTTGCAACTTCCAACGGCACGTCTTCAGAACAACCGAAAATGCGGCTTTTCCTATTTATACCGCGAGAAAGAAAGCATCAAACCGCCAATGTCCATGACAACCATCGAATGTCCGCGTAAACATCTCCGACACGAGGACAAGTTCCTCCGCACAATCAATGCGAACTTATATTATGGAAAGGGTACCCGCAGTATTTATACAGTGAAAACAAGGAAGAGCGCATACCGGTGTTTGAGGCTGTCAAGAAGTATATTGTCCAGGACAGGCCGCACTTGATACATAGTCGACACAGCGGCGCGTTTGGCGATGTGGTGTCGAGTGTATAGGGTTTATGGGTTTTTTTGGGGGGTTTTTTTTTTTTTTTTGGGAGGAAATGTCGAGGTGTAGATTTGTTTTGGGATGGGTTGCGGCGGCTGTTTTAGGATTATTGGATGCTTATGGATGTTACATACATTGCTGGAAGCTGGTGGTTGGGTTGGATCGCACCGGGTGCTTTGTCCCGAGACAAGGCCACGCCGGAAAAGGTTGTTGGACCATGACCATGGGTAGTATTCGTCGGGTGATGCGGCGGCCCGGCTGCAAGTTGCCGTTTTGGGTGCGAACTCTTCTTTTTCTGATGGTGGGTGATGGTTTTATAGTCGACAAGATAGCCAGCTGGCCAGCATCTGGACGAAAAATCCAGCTTCGGGGCCAG